TTGGACCTTGTTTCTTGTCATGACACAATCCCAGTCTCCACCTATGTTGGCAATCGATTTTCCAGTAGTGACCACAGAATGGTACTCTGTTCTCTGCCTTTCTCACCACTAAATACAGGAAACAAACAAGACTCAGGAAGCACAATATGTCGTAGTTACAAATATACAGACTGGGGATTAGTCCAAGAACTTAATCGACTCTGTCAATGGGATGACTATTTTACCACTGACTCCCTGGAGGCCGTATTAACCCTGTTTTACAGGAATGTTACCCTTTGTCTAGATACAGTTGCTCCAAAGAGAATAGTGAAATTAAGTAGACACCGAACTGAATATATTCCAAGGGCACACCGTAATAAGTTAAGGAAGCTGAAGAAACAGTACTTTACACTAAGGATATATCACTACTGCTTTCAATCCACGAGTCTCTTGAATCTATCAAGCGCCTACGCTCTCAAGAGGACCTCGAAGAAGAGTTAACTGCTTTCGAAAGTACCTTCAAAGTTTAGAGCTTAACAGCACTTCTTGAAAAACGAATGCAGTCGATGAGGGAAATCCCCTACTTCCTTCACGACAAAGTAATCAAAAATGAGCCTGCAACCATTTGTGAAATTTTCAGTGAGTGGTTTGCAAACATTAGCTTAGAAACAGGCATTGTCAATGTAGTTGAAGATTGAACGATCAATTCCCGGTTGTTTGCTCAAAACCAACTTCCCCAATTTTCGCGGAGGCATCAATACGACAGTCATCGTCTCATCGGTCGCTGTTCAGAAAGAAGTCAGCAATAAACCGTCAGAAGTAATATTGTGATTTGTTATTGTAATATTGGTTCACAGACTTTAATGGTAACATTGTTTATATGTTGGTGTAACAATAAAGAATCCTCGAGTCGCCAATCGGTTTTTTGGTTTTTTCGTCCGTTATTACTAAGCGTTTCTGAGAAACTTCAAGGAACAGCGTGAGCCCGAGCGTAGCAAGAGCTGGGCATTAACGGTTTACGAGACGTGACTGACAGTTTCTGACAGTACAACGTCAGTTTTTAACGGTTTTGGACAGTTGGCATTACTTTGGATAGTCACCGTTCATCTTTCCTGGTGCCGGTCAAGTCCTCTTTGAACAAGCAATATCTGGAACGTTTTCGGAATTGGGTCAAGTTCAACAATGCCTGGGTCAAAGAAAGGACAGAGCGTCTTGGATGCAAACAGGAAAGTAAGTCATTGTGACTTGTCTGTTACTTGTAACGATGTGTCTGATGTTAAGCATGACATGGTTGATGTTATTGTTTCGCCGTCCAGGGATAATAGGAACATCAAACTGCCTAGATTTGAACCACGATGTTTTGATGGAAACCCAGCTGATTATTTACAATTTGTAAAGGAGTTTGAGATTATGCTGAGTAGTTTTCTATTAAGTGATGAATTGAAGTTGATGTATTTGACGAGGTATTGCACTGGAGATGCTTCAAGAGCTATACAGTGCTGTACGTTTATGAAGCCAAAAGAGGGCTACTACGAGGCTATGAGCATAATAAATCAATGGTTTGGAAGACCTTCAATGATTGTAAGGAACGTATACGAAGCTGTCAAAGGTAATGGCAGTCAACTTCAAGATGACTCCAAGGCACTTACTGAGTTTTCAGATAATCTTATGACTTATAAGGATACCTTGATTTCGATGAATTGCAGGAGTGACCTCAACTCGAGTTTCATACTAGAAGTAATAGCAAGACGCCTACCTACTCGACTGCAAAGGAAGTGGGTGAAGATAAGCTCCCGTATGGAGGATGAGGGTATCGAGCCAAAATTTGATGATATCCTGAAACTGGTAAAAGATAGCGTCAATCAATCTACGAGCAAGTTCGCCAGTCTATAACATCTCACCCCTAGGATAGAGCAGTCTGAGGGTAAAATGCAATCATTGATGACGAAAGGGCCTCAGAGAGGTGGATATCGAGAAGGCTCCATGATGTCTAGTAATGCATATAGACCTAGTGAGTGTAACAGGTTTTGTAGCACATCCTCAACAGATAAGTTACAAGATGCAAGACAAACACGGCTTTGTTTTACACGTGTGCAAGAGGTGCATACAGAAGTGAACTGTGAACCAGTGAGCAAGTTCAGGGATAAGCTAAATGTAAACTACAGGTCTGACTCCGAATTGTGTGACGATAACGGTGCTGTGAAGAAGCCTGTAGTTGCAACTGGTAAGCCATTGTTGAATAGAGTGTCATAGAGGCGAGTTACAGTCTCAGAGGACAGTTCTGACTCCACAAGTTTACAAAGTATTACTAGTCAGAGTTAAGGTATAAAATCTTTGGGGATTTGTGAGAAGGAACCAAAATTGTCTACTTCTGTTATTAAAGAATTTGAAAATAATGACATTGACGGTAAAGTGAATATTCATGATAATGATCATGATACTTCAGATTTGTCTTTGGTTGATCATGATGAAATGGGGGGAATACCTACTACTGCTAAGTTGAATAAAGGTTCTGTACAACTTGAAGGTGAAGTAGAATTAAATGCAGATGCAGTTGCAGAAGGCATGCATACTAGTCAAACCGTCAGTGTAATTGATCAGAGTGAAGCCCACCTATCATCAGATGCTAGGGCTAAACCGGAGTTGATAGTAAAAGACAGCAGTGGTGGTAATCTAGCAGTTAGACAACTTTCTGAAAGCCGAACAAAAACAGCTGCTGGTCCACCGCTAAGTTCATCAACTGGCATCAATCAGTCGTCGTTGGTGTTGTCATCCACAATGAGAAGGACGCCCATCAACTCCAGTATCTTGTGCAATGTCTATGCTAGTATCGGTGCATTTGAAAAGACGGAAGATATTGCTCAGTTCAGTGATGATAAGTCAAGTTTAAACGAGAGAGTAATTGTTAAACTGACTTGCATGAATTAAGGCATTTCTAGTTTCAAGTTACTAATTGAATGCTATTATCTTTGGTGTAAATTACTCTGTGCCTACGCTTGGTTGACCAGATATGTCGTGTGTTTGTTCGTCATCTATATTCTACGATACAATGACATGGGCGCGTCACCATTCAGAGTTGAGGAAATAGCTCATAGAAGAAGTCAGCAAATGAACTCTGAGACGATTTTCCAACCTAGGGCGTCAACCTGAGAAGGGTTTCAGGCGTACTGGTGTAAGTCCTGCGATTCTTTAAAGGAATTACGTCGAGACATGATATGCGTGGTAATATGTACTGTTTTTATATATGTGTGGTGTATCATCAGTTGGTGCTTTGGGATTCACTGTGTTTACTTGTTGTCCTCTTATCTTGTTTTTATTGCACTATTCTCCTAAAATTTTCGTCGTGCTTACTTCTGAAGTTGTTTCGAGTCTCCTACATCCGTGAATGAATTGATTGATGTTAGAGACAGCGGATGGGTTGTAAACGCCGGGGAGGCTATTGCTGTGAATGACATGCACACGGAGATAATGATTAGGGGTGTTCGCACACACCGGGGAGCGACAGTGTAGTCGACTGAGGCTTGCATACGTCCCTGTTACTAGAACTGATGCGGAATGAGTATGATTTTGCTGTGTGTATGCCTGTGGTGTGTTGGCTTCTCTGTTTGTTTTCCAATCCAGCTTTGTTCCTGTGTCCCAGGTTCTCGTAATCGCATTCAAGTCAACGTGTATTGGTTGTGATGGTAGAAGGGATGGACGCTTTTTTGACGGGGTATGTCAATGTAGTTTTAGATTGAACGATCAATTCATAGTTGTTTGCTCAAAACTGACTCCTCCATATTTTTCGTGGGATCCATCCATCCGTCAGTCATCGTCTCATCGTTCGCTGTTCGGTGGAATATAGGAATCTATCAGAAGCATTGTCGTGATTTGATGTTGTAGCATTTATTCTTGGACCTTGTGTACTATCCTTATTATTTGTTACACGTTAGCGTAAGAATAAAGGATTCTTGAGTCGCCAATCAGTTTTCTGGATTTTGCATTGGTTAACACAAGGTGTTTCCGAAAGTCTTCGAGGGACAACGTGAGGTTCAGCGTAGTAAGAGCTGGACATTGACAGTTTATGAGAGTTGGCTGACAGAGACATTATGCAATGCAGACACCCTATCTTGTGAACTGTGTACGATAGCTATCAATTGATTTTGTTGATCAGAAAAGCCTTATTCTACTTCACGGAGTTCGCAGTGTTTGGAATTGCTGTCAGCGGCTCTTATTGCCGCTGTAGCGGTAAATAATTCCCTAAAATTATTGACCATAGGAATAGATTATGTCTAAGGGAAGAGTTACATCGTGACCATGGGAATCATCAGTGAACATTGGATGCTCACTCCTAGAGTTTAATTCGACTTGTTTATCTGAAGGCTTCCGGTCAAGCATCCGGGCCATTTGGTACCCCGTCGTATCACTTCCGTGCACGATAACTAGCCAGCTTGGCTTCCGCTTCAATCCGCGATTTGGTTCCGAAATATATCTCGTAGTTTGGACAATCAATTGTGGTGTTTTGCTTTGCCTTTGGTACTCGAGAAACGAATACCTTAGAAGTTGTTGGTATAAGATCTTGCGCTAGTATACTCCGTACAATTCGTGAACGTCTATGCCGTCAGCCTGTAAACCACTATGATCAATTTTTTGTGGCTACTATAAGGAATTCTTTAGAATAAGAACACTAGCTAATTTCAAATAGCTCTGATTGCATAGAGTTACAGTGCCTTCGAATGACTATTTAGCTATTTTCACCCTGCAACAGATGATTGCATAAACATTCTGTGTTGAAATTCGTTAAATATCTAGGGACACATGTAAGTCCTGAGAGGCAAGTCTATAGAACTGAATAGGCGTTTACAGCCTCATCAAAAATATGTTGCATGGTGAAACTTAGAAAAAAACATGAAAACTGATTATTATTACATTTCACAGATTTCCTCAAATTCAGCACTTCAGTTTGAGCTCATATACTACCTCCCTAGCTATGCATATCCAATTGTTTTAATTCGTGACCAAATGTTTGTTTTATCCTATTAATGTGCAAGTTGGTAACTGGATTGCGGTTGCAGCTGAAAAGTATGTTCTTTGTCCTGCTGTTTCTGAGTTGTGTATCGTCGGAAGTTATCAGGTACTTGCTGCCTTTATGAAACTAATAGAAATTAAGGGTTAAACTCCACCCAACGAAGTCTCTGCAGCGCAATATAATTGAGTTCGGGACGTCCTTTGAAAATCTCAAAAAGCTTTGGTTATCAAGGCTATCAGGAAATACCTCTGGTGCACCCGAATATTTGAAAAACTATTTGGACGTAATATATGTGCTTTTTCGGTTATTTGGTTTTTAGGCTCAGTATTATGGAGATATAACCATTGGAACTCCACCACAGACATTCGGTGTTGTATTTGACACCGGTTCATCTAATCTTTGGGTCCCGTCAAAACACTGCAGCTATTTTGATATTGCTTGTTTGTTCCATAGAAAATACGACAGCTCAAAATCCTCTACTTATGTTCCGAATGGCACTGAATTTAGTATTCGATATGGCACTGGTAGCCTAAGTGGCTTCCTTAGTTCCGATGTTGTTCAGGTTTGGTTTTGGGAGTTTGAATTACTCATGTCATTTTATCAGGTAGGTTCAACTAAAGTCATTGGCCAAACCTTTGGAGAAGCTACGCAACAACCTGGGATTACCTTCATCATGGCCAAATTCGATGGAATCCTCGGTATGGCCTATCCCTCAATAGCTGTCGGTGGTGTTACTCCTGTATTTGTAAATATGATCCGCCAGAATTTACTTGATTCCCCAGTATTTTCATTTTATCTTAATAGGTGAGATGAGGCCTAGAAGTTTTCCAATTAGTCTATAGTTTTCGAGTTTTCTGAAGTCATTTGCATGTCATCTATTACATGAGGCAGTTTTTTTTAAATTTAACTTTATAGGAAGTAAAAAGACTCCGGCCTTAAATGACTGTTAAACAAAATCAAGCATACTCAGTGCGAAGTTTTAATCTTCAAAGTCTTCCCCTACTTTCAGTAGAGGTAGGCTGAAAATCCTGAATTTTGGCGATTCAGAGCCACTAAATTATTGCTTTAAGGTTAACTAAAATGTATTTGGTGGTTCTGTCAGTGGGAACCTGCGAACAACATATCAGTGTTAAGGATTAATATTCTTACTACTTAAACGACTATTTTAAAAGAAATCTAAGTCGCTTGTCGCAAATCAGGGTAGGTAGATCAAATCTATTGGTAGGAAAGGTAATTGAAGTACGTGGGGCAGTACAAAAGTGCTTTAAAAAATCAATGGTGTAAGAAATCTTCGCATATACTATTTAGTCGAAATCACTTCAGCGTAGACACGGGTCACTATTTTTATTTGCACATAGATTCGTATCATTTGGGTACTAAAAAGTACCACACATTATTCGACATAAAATTTTGGATAAAAGGAGTCTAAATCATTGCAGTTATAATATTAGATAAGTCAACATCCTCGCTAAGTATATACAAAATAGGTTTGTTTTCACTTCGTTTTACTATTCATCAGTGAGACAGACGTAGTGGCAATACCTTGTTCGACTAAACTCTCTATTCTAAGTCATTCACTAGGTCGTTGGTTTTCACAGGTCTCATCCGGAATGTCGGATAGCATCTGCATTTGGTGGCTCGACATAACTGTTTCATGTCGTAAGCTGACCAAAGTTTTTATATTTGTCTCGTGGCTAACAAACAGTTGTTTGTCTGGAAGCTGGTCTTGTAATGTTGGTGGCGTGTTTAATATATCAGTATGGTATCATATTAAGAGGATATCCACGTCTTGTTTAAATTTAAGCCTCCAGAAGCTAGAATTATGGACATGATATTACTACTGTGCATTTCAGCAAATACTGTTCAAATACTAGCGAGATACTGAACGTTAGAATTACACTCACTAGGACGTCTCCAAAACCCTTGAGAGATGTATTTTACTGTGGATTTTGATATAAGACTATAGATTTCATAGATCAAGGTATCTACCATTTACACAACGACTTAGATACATGTTTGTTTTATAGTTCTCGTATAGAGGCAGTTGTATACGTTGGATCCTGTGAGTATTAATATAAAGCATTAGAAGTGTTTGCAAAGTGTTCAACAAAGTTAACAATATCGAATTTGCATGAAAGTAATTGCAAATGCATGGTCTCTTGATTGTGAGTGGTTTTCTAGGAGAAAACCAATAGTTTCAATCTAAGGTGTATTTCACCTGCATTCACTTGCTTTTGTAGATTTTAGTCATTAATTACTTTCGGATCCTGAAATTTTGGTTTTGGATATGTGAGTAGTATTATGTTCCATACCACTTGTATAAACTCGAACATGTGTTTACTTACCATTTATTGATGATGGGGTTACAACCATTACTGAAGGTTTGGCACTAACATTTGTCATTGTATCCTGGTAGACTTCTGTTAGCAGTCATTTGTCGCCCATACGTAATATTCTCCTTCATTGATACCCGCTCATTGTAGAGTCATTTTACTTCTGTTCTGTCCTTTTTGGTCTACTGTTTTGAACTTTGGCGATTCCCACTGGTTTACTACTGCGCGGAATTCTGTTTTGATATGTCAATCGACCGCCGAAAACGTAATGGTCAAGCTTTGGTTTAAGGGACGAAGTCAGTCATTATAATCCGTAGAGTTTCTCACTTTACAAGCGGTTGTAGACAGTCATGATGTCAAGTATTAATACTCAGTAGGATTTGATTCTACATGTTTCATACTTAGGGGTGTATGTTCTTTACACTTAATGACATATATTGGCTCACATTAATGTAATTTGCAAGGATATTTCTGTTTCGTAGTAGGTGTGGTCACATAGTTAACTTATATTTGCTGCAACAGTGATGAGGAGGAAAAAGGATGTTGCTCAATCTAAGCCGTATAGGATATCAGCACATTTAGTAGGTGCTTAACTCACACCATAGACCAGAGAAGTCCCTAATGGGTCATGCGTACTTGGGAAAGTAGCATATCACTCTTAATTATACAGTCTATATTTCCTTAATTGTTGGAACCATTAATTGAGTCATAGTCTTAGGATAGTGCTTTTTTAAGTGAGCCAGTTAAATACATATGAAACTAACTGTTGACATTAAACGGCGTCGGGAATATTCTACGAAACGTCATGATCTGGACATTATGCCATTGAATTCTGACCTAGTAGCTGAATGGTAACCCACTGGTCTCGTTAGATGATGTCTCTGGACTCAGTCCTCCATTGGGGGTCGTGATTGTACACTGAAGGGAAATAAGTATTGAACGTTTCGGAGTTCTGAATGACTTTTAGTGTGTAGGATAGGGCTGAGTAGAGGAAAGCTTGGGACCATCCGTCAGTAACTGTCGATGTGAGCCTTGTGTAAATTTTAGACAGTTGTATGGATTCCGTTTTTATTAGTGGGAAATAATGGAAAACACCCTTTGTTATGGTGCTTAATCATCATGGTTTTGGTTTCTTATGCATCTTTTTAAAGTAGTTGTAACACTGAGATACTATGGGTCATTTCATGTTGAAACACTTTCATTCCACCTCTTCAATTGTGTTACGTTTATCACTTCGTTAATTTTAATGATAACTAAGTAGGGAAACTAAATTATAGTTATAGTCATGTAAGGCGTATTATGCTTTTGTACAACCTATACAACTTTACTTTTTTGCATGTATATAGAAAACTGTTAATTTATCACGTTTTTGTGTGTATAGAAATGCATCAGCTTCGCTTGGTGGTGAATTAATGATTGGTGGTATAGACAAAAAGTATTATACTGGTGAAATCAACTACGTAGATTTAAAGGAGAAATCTTATTGGCTGTTTCAAATGGACAAGTAAGCTACCAGTTTTCAGGGAAATTTATTTTGTCGAGCAAAAATTGAATAGTAGCTATTTAGCTGGTTGTTGTTCAGCTTATTTCTCTTTTCCAGTGTTCAGTGGTAAATGTTACTAGTCACTAACAGGTCTTACAGTGTCTACGTCTTAGTGCAGGCTAAATTCTGTTGATCAAGTTTGTGAGTGAGAAATCAAAATAGAAGATGGTACACTTCAGATTCATATGAGGAGGTTAAAAGCAACGAGCAAGAAATCTTATGCCTAAAGTTAACGTTTATTAACATTTTTTAGCAGGATATCAGAAGTCTCGAGCAGCGCTGAGCTGTTCTGGCCAGTCAGAATAAGTAATACAAGATTGGTAAAGTAGTATTGACTTGGTTTTTTAAAAAGTAGTTTTAATTGACACTATAGACGTTTTCGTTGAAATAAGTAGTAACTTGGTGTTGCGACTTACCATCTAAGACATCCTATTTCAGTTAAGTTAGTTAAAAATCTAAGTTCTGATGTATCCTCTCAAGTATAAAACTTGGGCACTGTGGTAGAGTATAACTCCATTATGGATAAGATTTTATTTATTTTGATAAATCACAGTGTTATACATCAGTGTTAACTGGCGACGTTTCGGGCACAGATTATTGCTCATAATCATATCAAGTTACTCACACAACTGTTTTCCTTCATTTATATACATGTGTGGAATTGACTAGATACTTGAATGCCTCGGTGGCACACCGCTTAGGACTCTCGCCGATCATTCATATGGTCCGGGGTTCGACCCCCTGCCGACGCATACCTGATATCTATGGTCCGCCTGCAAAATTTGGGCTACCGATATTACATGCTGAAAATTTCATACTTGTACCCTAAATATAGTGTGGAATCAAGCTGTAATCAAAATAAAAATACATTAAAAAACATAAAATGAAAATAAAAATCAATATGGGATAATGTACATTCAGGAATAATAATATGAGTGTTATTGATCAATTACAATCAGATGGGAAATAGGACGAATGTTTTTTTAGTCATAATAAGTAACATTCGTCTTATTACCCATCTGATTGTAATTGATCAATAGCACTTATTATTTCTGAATGTACATTATCCCATATTGATTTTTATTCAAATATCTAGTCAATTCCACACATGCATATAGATGAAGGAAAAAGGTTGTGTGAGCAGCTTGGTATGATTATGGGCAATAGTTTGTGCTCTTAACGTCGTCAGTTAATATTGCTGTATAACACTGTGATTTATTAAAATAAAATCGTATCCATAATGGAGGTATCCTCTCAAGGTTTGAGCAGTTTTGATGTGACATGTTTAGCCCGTCGCTGAATACACAATTTCTACATCTAACTTCTTATCTAGCTATGTTCTTAGCTTAGTCAGGAATGCTTCATTTCAATAGTATCCTCACTTAAAAAAAAACAACAGTTTGTGAAGTTCACGTATTGTTTAATAGCTGATAATGGTGTCGTTGTTGAAATCTAGATAGTCGGTGGAGAGTTCAAATTCGCAATGAACGTGATATATATGTTACAAAATGTAGCTGAACGTTACATTCCGTACACGAGTGCTGAGTTGTGGTGTATGTGTATAGCATTCATTATCATGAAACGTTTTATTGAAATACAATTGTTTAGATTCCCATCTAGATGAAAACAAGTGGATTACATCGAACTGTGTAGCTTATTGAATCAATAACATATAGTGCTAAAACACAGCAAAATAATTACGATATACTGTGCCGTAGTAGACCATAAGCTGTATAGAGTTTAGCTGAAATATCCAATAATTGCTTACGCTGGTGCGTTTGTGAGTGAGTCGACTCTGAAGTCCTCCGGTTGTGTTCATATTTTTGGACTGGGACTTCACTTTAATTACTGTCACCTAACAATGTTTAAAAAAACTTGTTTTGGCTTGGAGGTCTGGACAGTACCCCAGCCTTTGCACAAACTGTTTGATTTTGTACGGGGCATCTCTTGGTGTCCATAGCGTACCAAGTTTGTTTTATTAATAAGTAAATGTTTAGGGGACATTTATTATCATTACCAACTTCCCTAAGATCGCTTCCAAATTAAAAAAATTTTCCATTGTTTTCGCTTGAATATTTCATTTGAAGTATAACTGAAAATTAAAAACTTTTTAAAATATAGGCTGATAGTATCAGACACAACAGTATGTCTGGATGGTTGTCTGGCCATTGCAGACACTGGTACTTCAATGATCGCTGGTCCAACTAAAGAGATAACAGAAATCAATACGAAAATTGGCGGCACTTATTTGCCTGGTGGTATTTATAGTATTCCATGTGATCGGATGACTAACCTCCCGAAGATTGATTTTTTAATAAATGGAAAAAATATGACATTAGATCCTACAGATTATATAATGAAGGTAATATTTCGTTTTTAATTATTATACACCAGATTTAGCTTTTTGCGATAGCCTGAAGAAACTAACCCATTATCACTTCTATACATTAATTCACTGCGTGGCGGTCAAATTTTACATTTTCAACTGAAGTTGTGTGCTCTTAATACTAAGCTATGCTATATGTGCTTTGACAGTAGCTGATTGTATAAGGTGCTCCAAAAGCCACTTCTTAACCAGTTTAACTCTGTCTGTCTGGATTCAACATAGAACTTGGCACCGAAGTGCAGCAGTTCGAGTTGCCACGTTCCAAATAGCACACAGAGGTAGACAAGAAGATGAGTGAAGAGAATCAATAGAGTTTGACAAGTATAAGAGTGAAACAGAATGGGTAATGGTAGAAAGGAATATGAAAGATTACAGAGACTGAATACATCTGCGCCATTGACAACGATTTTGAGCCATGTCACCTATTGTCTCCAGCCATTGATTCCTAGAGTCCCGAGGGCCCCAACCCGGGAGTCTGCATCTCCCTACCTGACTCAGTTTAACTGTCAAGGATTTCATGGATTGATGCCATGTTTTTGTTTGGCCACCACTGGCTCTTTTCCAACCTGAACCTATATCAGCTAGCAATGCCCGTCGGGGGAGGCGGTGGTTAGGCATGCGCAGCACGTGACCTAGCCATCTTAGTCTATGTAACTTTATAGCCTCGTCGATTGATTTTCCCTCTTTGCCCAACACTCTACGCCTAACGTCAACATTACTTACCTTATTAAACCACCTAACGTGAGACAGAGATCGCAGACATCTATGATCGAAAGCAGTCAACCTTTTCATGTCTTCAACGCGTATTGGCCATGTTTCAGAGCCATAGAGAAGGACGGAGCGAACTGATGAGCAGTACACACGTCCCTTGGTTGATAACCGGATGTCACGCCTACGCCAGAGATGGTGTAAGTCAGCGAAAGCAGCTCGAGCTTTTCGGATCCGTGCTGAGATTTCATCGCCAATCAGTCCGTTGGTGCTAATACAACTTCCCAAATAGGTGAAGTGGTCAACATGTTCTATCACTTCACTCCCTATCACTAAGTTAGGGTTGACGTGTCCAGTCCTGTAGCAGCATCTTACATTTTGTAGGGGCGAATCGCATGCCAAACATACGAAGATTGCTGCTCAAGGTGTTCAGAAGACTCTGCATTTTGTCAGCATCCTCCCCTAACAGGACTATGTCATCTGCATATTCTAAGTCCATAAGACTATTCCCTGGTAACAAGTCGATTCCTAAGTCATTACGTTCAGTTAAGGATACTTCCATCAGCATATCTATGATGAAGTTAAACAGAAATGGGGAAAGTGGACATCCCTGTCGGACACCACTGGTTGTTACCAATTCAGATGACAATTCCCCATAAGCCCTTACACGACTACGTGAGTTTGAATAGAGTGCCTTGATTAGTGCAATGTACTTTCTTGGCACTCCCTTCACAGTCAGACATTGCCATAGTACCTTTCGATCCACGGAGTCGAAGGCCGCCTTCAAGTCAAGAAATATGACAATTGTTGGACGCCGAAAAGTGTGTCTATGTTCTAGAATCTGTCGAAGAGTGAAGATATGCACCCTCTACCTGGTCTAAAGCCTGCTTGATTTTCCCTTGTCTGTTCCTCCCGAGTTCTGCTTAGTCTATGCATGATTACTGAGCCTAGGATTTTAGAGACTATGTTCGTTAGGCTGATCCCCCTATGATTATCACACGAGGACTTGTTTCCCTTCTTGAATATCGGTATAATAAGTGACTTACCCCAGTCTGATGGCACTGTCTCTGATTCCCAGACTTTGCCTAGTACCTCAGTTAATCTACAAACTAGTATGTCACCCCCATATTTAAACACCTCCGGAATAATTCCGTCGGGTCCTGCCGCTTTGCCTCGTTTCAAATTACTGATAGCTTTTGTGACCTCACTACAGACGGCGGACCAGTGTCTATATCCCATTCGGGTGTGTGTGGATGGCGGGGAGGTTCAGTGTGGCTGTAGGCAAGTTAAATTGTCCTCAAAGTGTTCTTTCCAGCGTTCAAGGCGTCTATCCTGAGAGCTAATTAAGGAGCCATTTTTCTCAGAAATAGTCTCACTTATGAATTGCCTTCTCCCACCCGTTTCTGATGAGTCTAAAGAGTTGCCTAGTGTTGCCTATCGCCGATGCTTTTTCCATCTCTTTTGCCTTTGTCACCACCACTGTTCACGGTCCTTGCGGAGACTTTTAGTAAGTTTCCTTTTGTGCAGCTTTCGCTCCTCATTGAATTCGGAGCTCGCCGGAATAAGTCTTCTAGCATCTATCAGTTCGGATGAGGCAGTCGAAATCCAGTGGTTTTTACTCACCTTTGGATTTGCCTTATTCACAGCTTTTACAGCTGTATCTATAGCTGACTGAATATTCTTCCAGGCTTCTCCAGGGTGAGCACAGCTGTCGAACTCAGATATGCGTTTAGCTAGTTCTTCCTCAAATAGGGATTTAGTTTCCTGATCGAGCTGGGGACGTGATGGTTTTACCGCCAGCTGTTTCCTACGTCCGTTCAGTCGTAAGCACACACGAGCCCGGACCAGTGCGTGATCGGTATCTACACACGTGTTCCAGAAGGAGCGACAATCTCCTACCGACCCACGCCAACGATAGCTTATTGCTATGTGGTCTATTTGTGTCCAGCGTTGGTTTGATGATGGGGGTCGCCAGGTTAAACAGTGTCTCTCCTTGTGTTTAAAGTTAGTGCTTACAAGAAACAAATGATTATCTGAACAGAACTGTAGGAGACGGTCACCGTTGTCGGTTCGCTGGCACGGAACTCCATAGGTGCCACCGACATCCTTCTCAGATTGACACAATTTCCCTACTTGAGCGTTAAAGTCACCAGCTAGAACGACTATATCTGAGCGTTTAGCCTTTCTCACCAAACTAGACAGCTTTTGGTAGAACTCATCCTTCGTTTCATCCGAACTGCAGTCAGTGGGGGCGTAGGCGGAGATTACGAAAAGGCATCGGCGAGTAGTGCAGTCCTTTCTCCTTCTTACTGATCCGTTCAGACGGACAGCACACATTCGGCTATCTACTGGGATCCAGTCAAGCAATGTCTTTTCTGCCCTAGTACTCAAGCTATCCCTACGCCAGCTAATCCTCGTGAACTAGCTGTGGCATCTCCTGACACCCTCAAGGTGAATTTTGAAGATTCATCCTGTTGGCCAGGTGGGGTTAGGTGAATAACCACACTTGGGTCTTGTATGCGTGTTTCTGAAACACAACATACATCAATGGCTCGGATGCCAGGGTCTTAGCTAGTGATGCTTGTTGTCCTATTTGGCAAAGTGTCCTAACATTAAATGCTCCTATATGAAATTGGTGGCGTGGCTTTAGGAGACTATCGTGGTGGTTTTTTGGCTTCCGTCGTTTTTAGTGGACACAGAGTGAAAAGAAAGTGAGGAGCCATCAAGTAGAGGAGTTGCATCAGTGGAAGGCAAGATGATAGAGATGAAGATGAAGACAAAGATAAGTGAGGATTAGAGAGGTTTTGTGTGCATTTCGGATTGTGAGGGCGTTTGTTACTTCCCGGCTGCCCACACCGTGGAAGTTGGTTGCGTGACCGCAGAGCCCAGGGGACAACTGCTTGAGGCCGGTCACACGCGGCCTGTTTTTGTTTGTTCGTTTTGTTTGGTGTGCCTCAGTAGCATACTTATCACTCCTGCCCTGTGACACGGCAGCAGGAAGCGCGGTCGTTGTTAATCCGGGCCACGGCCGATCCGGCATGAAATTTTGTGAATTTTTATGTATCATGGTGTTGGATTGGGTAGCTGCTTTTTGTTTAACCGCTATCCAAACAACCTGCCCGGCATGGTAGAACCTCAAGAGACATAAGTCTCAGCCAGTATAGCTTGTTGGGCAATTGCGGTGTTCAAGCCCGACCACCACGTCAAGGTAGCAGCTTTCGGTCGATTTAACTCAAGCTTCTTTGCTTGGGTATACGGTAGACTATTGAGGTAATGGGTAACATTGATGTCTTTTGGATTATATAATGTTATTATCGCTTAACTCCGATTTCTCATGGGGGTGATTTCCTGGAATACTCAGCCCATACTGTTCCTGTTATTTGTAATTGTTGACAAAATTTAGTGTTTTTCAGCTAAGGTGTGAGTTTTTGTCCTGCTTCTACGCACTGATCTGTGTTCTGTCTATATCTAAAATAGGGAATAAGGTAGTCGTTTGTGTTAAACAAATCGGCTGACAAAAAGTAAGTATTTCAGCAATGGATACCAGACACTGTTTTAATGTTTACCCATATCCTGTTTATGTCGTCCAACTCCAGCATACTGAGTTTTCAGAGTATAAAACTTAACAGTAGGAGACGCCAAAATGTTACAGCTTTTCAAGTGTCTTTATGGCACTGTTCAATTATTATCAAACCATCAGGTCAATAGTGAGGTCTGGCACAGTGTTAGAAGGGGGAGATAGTTTATGCTTTTACTGAACACATAAAGATTTAGGTACCTGACATGTTATGCTTTTGGATCATCGTTTGGTAGTCGAATTCGGCTGAACCAAAGAACAGAGGTTTTAGACTATAATGGCGTAGGCTATCTTGTTGAAGTCTGTAATGTGTTGATGAAAGTTTTCACCTGCAATCCCTCAACATCAACCGTGGTGTTGATACCATTTTAAAGTGTAACAACTTTGGACCGTTGATTTTTGTGTGGTTCAAAGTTAGTTTGTTTCTATGATTTGTAGGTTATACAGGAAGTCAATCTGTGAGTCCAGGTACTCATCAGTTTATAGTCTTACTTTACACTCCCAATATTGTCATAAGGATAAAAGATACTTGTCCGTTCCTGTTTCATCAAATTAACTACTCATTAAAGTCTCGTTATATGAATCCAAATCAAGCACAGATGGACCAATTATTGGATTATCCGTGGTCGTATCAAATAAAAGTTTCCATTACTTGGAAGTGACCGTAGAAGTAAAAATTAAAAGTTGTAAATTACGTGGTACTCAACGGCACAAAGAAATTTGGCAAGGTTAAAATTGCTATTGAGTGAGAATAAAGGTAGTTGAGTGTCAATTTAACAAGTGGGAAGAGGGTGTGAAAATATACAAAAGGAGCATATGAGAGTGATAATAGTGAATTAATTATTAAAGCAAAAACGAACTAAAAGTAAAATTAAAAAAGAAAAGGAGAAATCAAATTTTTTTTACAGGGAACGACTGGTGAGGTTAAGACCAAGGTAGAATAAGAGACTGGACACACTTTTTATGTATACAGAGTTCGGGGTTGTATTGCCAGCGCCTCCGCCATACACAAAAAACCGAAACCTGACACCCTTTGTACCATTTAGCCTCACCTTGTAGATGATCTTGAAAGACGACTCTGGTGGAGCTACGTGACCTGAGTTCACCAAGTGCTCAAGAATTTAGCTAGTAATTGTCCTCACACTTGTTAAAATGACACTCAACTACCTTTATCCTCACTCAATAGCAATCTTAGCCTTATCAAATTTCTATCTTTGTGCCGTTGAGTAATTTTAATTTTTACTTCTAAAGCCACTTCCGAGTAATTATATTAATTTTGTCACCCCCTATTAATCAATAATAAACCACTAAACATTTTGAAAGGTTTCCATTCTTGTTGAAAAATGCTTATTGAATTTGGAAGGAACTATAACAGTTGCTCATAACGTTTTGATACAAGTGGATTTAACTCAGTAGGACAGTACAGTGATAGATGATGACTTTGTTACTGCTATTAGTATTTTGATGTGACTGAAGTTTAGTTCTAACTTCATATATGAATTGCTTTACACCTATTTTTTATTTCTTCATTTTAACACAGGTATCCCAATTTGGTACAGAGATTTGCTTGAGTGGTTTTATGGGTTTGGACTTGCCTAAGCGAAAGTTGTGGATATTAGGGGATGTTTTTATTGGTAAGTATTACACGATATTCGATATGGGCGAAAATCGTGTTGGCTTTGCTGAAGCTGTTAGCCCAGATTCCATTCAACAAAAGAAATCCTATAGTCCAATGATGCGATTGTTTCCTGCTCAGCCTATTTCTCAGGTTGCCTCCAAAGTTCCAAGTGAAGTATTCCCCTTTTCAAAGCTTATAGAAGATATAGTTTAAAACGTGTGTAGTACTTGACATTTCACTTCAACATGATGTCGTTCCTATTCCATACTTTGAATAAGATTTCATTACTATTGACAATCGATATTGATTCTTGTCATCGTGTAACGACTGTCATTTGATGCTCTTTATTTTACCATCATTCTCTCCCTTTTTTAAAACATTATTCCACTAATTTCATGACTTTTTAGAATGTATTTTGTACACATACAGTGTTATTGTTCATTGCTGACAAAAAGATTACATTAGCTTTCAACCACCCATACTTATCAGTAGTATGTGTTAGTTGCGTCTTTGCTCGCTTTCTTGATGCTCTTTACGAAGTCATTCAGGTCGCGTATTGTGATCTGATTATTTTAGTTCTCTGAAGAAAAGATGCTCGTTTGAACTGAGTCACTTGGGCAGCACAGTTATCATTTGAAGACTGATGTGATAGTACCCGGTTGCCCAGGCTATAAAGTAGTAGAGCGGGATTCTAACCTGGGAACCACTGACTGGAAGTTAGGCATTTAAGTCAATAGGCTAAACCTCCACCGTTCGAAGATAATCATGGTGAAATTTCACCTCATATGCACGGGAGTTCAAGTCGCCAAACTCCATGTAGCACACAAAACAAGAGAAGAAAGTACAAGAAAAGCATAATAGAGACAGTGAGCAGAGGTGTGAGACAAAGGAGTAATAACGAAGAACAAAACAGTTTCATTGGAAATCATAAATCACAAGGAGTGGATACATCTGCGCCACTGAGAACGATTTTGAGCCATGTCACTAATTGTTTCCAACCATTGGTTTTTACCATCCCGAAGACCCCAACCAGGAAGTTTACACCTTCCTACGTGGCTGGCTTAAACTAACTGTTATAGATTTCATTGACTGATGCCAAGTTTTTGTTTGACCTCCGCTAGCTTTTTTCCAGCCTGAACCTATATCAGCTAACATTGCCCACTGTCGAGGAAGGCGATGACTAGGCATACGTAACATATGTCCTAACCATCTCAGTCTATGTAACTTCACAACCTCGTCGATTGATTTCCCCTCCTTACCTAGCACTCGACGCCTAACCTCAATATTGCTCACCTTATTATACCACTTCACACGGGAGATAGAACGCAGGCACCTATGATCAAAGACAGCTAATCTTTTCATGTCTTCCACTCTGAGTGGCCAGGTCTTACAGCCATAAAGGAGGACGGAGCGGACTGATAAGCAGTACACCCGGATATCTCGTCTACGCCAGAGACGGCGTAAACTGGCAAATGCGAAAGGAGCCCCCTGTATCCGTGCTGAGATTTCGTCAAAGATCAACCCGTTGGCACTGGCTGATGGTACTTCCCAAATAAGTGAAGCCGTCAACGTGCTCTACCACTTCACTTCCTATTTTTAAACTAGGCGTCGATGAAGTCTGTCTGTCTGTTTTCGACATAGAACTTTGCACAAATGTGCGGAAGTTCAAGTCGCCACATTCCGTGAAGCACGCGAAGCAAGAGAAGAAAGTACAAGAAAAGCATAATAGAAACAGTGAGCAGAGGTGTGAGACAAAGGAGTAATAAAGAAAAACAAAACAGTTTCATTGGAAATCATAAGTCACAGGGAGTGGATGCATCTGCGCCACTGAGAACGGTTTTGAGCCATGTCACCAATTGTTTCCAACCATATATTTTTACCGTCCCGAGGACCCTAGCCTGGAAGTCTACACCTTTCTACGTGGCTTAAACTAACTGTTGTGGATTTCATTGACTGATGCCAAGTTTTTGTTTGACCGCTAGCTTTTTTCCAGTCTGACCCTATATCCGCTAACATAGCTCGTCGAGGGAGGCGATGGCTTGGCATACGTAACACATGTCCTAACCATCTCAGTCTTTGTAGCTTCACGACTTCGTCGATTGATTTCCCCTGTTTACCTAGAACTCTACGCCTAACCTCCATGTTGCTCACCTTATTATGCCACTTTACACGGGAAATAGAGCGCAGGCAACTTTGATCAAAGACAGCTAGTCTTTTCATGTCTTCCACTCTCAGTGGCCAGGTCTCACAACCATAAAGGAGGACGGAGCGGACTGATGAGCAGTACACCCGCCCTTTGGTCGATAGTCGAACATCTCGTCTACGCCAGAGTCGGCGTAAACTAACAAATGCGAAACGAGCCCCTTGTATTCGTGCTGAGATTTCGTCAGAGATCAGCCCGTTGGCGCTGGCTGATGGTACTTCCCAAATAAGTGAAGCGGTCAACGTGCTCTACCACTTCACTTCCTATTTTTAAACTAGGCGTCGATGTAGTCCAGTCCTGTAACATCATCTTGCATTTGGCGGGAGCGAATCGCATGCCAAACATTCGTAGATTGCGGCTCAAGGTGTTTAGAAGACTGCATTTTTTCAGCGTCCTCGTCGAGAAGGACTATATCGTCTGCATATTCTAAGTCAACGAGATTATTCCCCGGTAGCAAGTCAATCCCTGAGTCGCTGAAGTCACCTAGGGTTAAGTCCATTAACACATCTATGATGAAATTGAATAGAAAAGGAGATAATGGGCATCCTTGACGGACACCACTAGTCGTCATCAGTTCAGATGACAGCTCACCGTAAGCCCTCACCTGGCTGTATGAGTACGAGTAGAGTGCCTTAACCAGTGCAATGTATTTTCTCGGAATTCCCTTTACAGCCAAGCATCGCCAGAGAACCTCTCAGTCGACAGAATCGAATTCCGCCTTTAGGTCAAGGAATATAATGATTGTTGGGCGCCGGTAGGAATGCCTATGTTCTAGAATCTGTCAATGAAGTCCAGTCCTGTGACATCATCTTGCATTTGGCGGGAGCGAATCGCATGCCAAACATTCGTAGATTGCGGCTCAAGGTGTTTAGAAGACTCTGCATTTCGTCAGTGTCTTCGCCTAGAAGGACTATATCGCCTGCATATTCCAAGTCAACGAGATTATTCCCCGGTAGCAAGTCAATCCCTGAGTCGCTGAAGTCACCTAGGGTTAAGTCCATTAACACATCTATGATGAAATTGAATAGAAAAGGAGATAATGGGCATCCTTGACGGACACCACTAGTCGTCATCAGTTCAGATGACAGCTCACCGTAAGCCCTCACCTGGCTGTATGAGTACGAGTAGAGTGCCTTAACCAGTGCAATGTATTTTCTCGGAATTCCTTTTACAGCCAAGCATCGCCAGAGAACCTCTCAGTCGACAGAATCGAATTCCGCCTTTAGGTCAAGGAATATAATGATTGTTGGGCGCCGGTAGGAATGCCTATGTTCTAGAATCTGTCGGAGGGTGAAGATATGATCAATACACCCTCTTCCTGGTCTAAAGCCTGCCTGGCTCTCTCGTGTTTGTACCTCCCGAGCACCACTTAGTCTACGTATGATTATTGAGCCTACGATTTTAGATACTATATTAGTCAAGCTAATCCCTCTGTGATTATCACAGGAAGACTTGTTTCCCTTCTTGTATATGGGGATAATCAGTGACTTACACCAACCCGATGGGGTCTCTTCTGGTTGCCAGACGCTGCTTAGAACCTCAGTTAATGCAGACAGTAAACTGTCTCCACCGTACTTAAATACCTCTGGAGTCATTCCATCAGGTCGCGCTGCTTTGCCTTATCTCAGATTGGTGACAGCTTTAGTAACCTCAGTTAAGGAGGGGACCTGTGCCTATATCCCATTCATGGAGGTGCTGGATGTTCGACAGGTTGAGCGTGGCTGTGGGCCAATTAAACTGCTCCTCATAGTACTCCTTCCAGCGTCCAAGGCGTCTATCCTGAGAGCTAATTAAGGAGCCATTTTTCTCAGAGATTGTTTCACTTATGACTTACCTTCTCCCACCCGTTTCCCTGATGAGTCTAAAGAGTTGCCTAGTGTTGCCTATCGCCGAGGCTTTTTCCATCTCTTTTGCCTTTGTCAGCCACCACTGTTCACGGTCCTTGCGGAGACTTTTCGTAAGTTTCCTTTTGTGCAGCTTTCGCTCCTCATTGAATTCGGAGCTCGCCGGAATAAGTCTTCTAGCATCTATCAGTTCGGATGAGGCAGTGGAGATCCAGTGGTTTTTACTCACCTTTGGGTTTGCCTTATTCACAGCTTTTACAGCTGTATCTATGGCTGACTGAATATTCTTCCAGGCTTCTCCAGGGTGAGCACAGCTGTCGAACTCAGATATGCGTTTAGCTAGTTCTTCCTCAAATAGGGATTTAGTTTCCTGATCGAGCTGGGGACGTGATGGTTTTACCGCCAGCTGTTTCCTACGTCCGTTCAGTCGTAAGCACACCCGAGCGCGGACCAGTGCGTGATCGGTATCTACACACGTGTTCCAGAAGGAGCGACAATCTCCTACCGACCCACGCCAACGATAGCTTATTGCTATGTGGTCTATTTGTGTCCAGCGTTGGTTTGATGATAGGGGTCGCCAGGTTAAACAGTGTCTCCTTGTGTTTGAAGTTAGTGCTTACAAGAAACAAATGATTATCAAACAGAACTGTAGGAGACGGTCACCGTTGTCGGTTCGCTGGCACGGAACTCCATAGGTGCCACCGACATCCTTCTCAGATTGACACAATTTCCCTACTTGAGCGTTAAAGTCACCAGCTAGAACGACTATATCTGAGCGTTTAGCCTTTCGCAGCAAACTAGAAAGCTTTTGGTAGAACTCATCCTTCGTTTCATCTGAACTGCAGTCAGTGGGGGCGTAGGCGGAGATTACGAAAAGGCATCGGCGAGTAGTGCAGTCCTTTCTCCTTCTTACTGATCCGTTCAGACGGACAGCACACATTCGGCTATCTACTGGGATCCAGTCAAGTAATGTCTTTTCTGCCCTAGTACTCAAAGCTATCCCTACGCCAGCTAATCCTCGTGAACTAGCTGTGGCATCTCCTGACACCCTCAAGGTGAATTTTGCAGATTCAACCTGTTGGCCAGGTGGGGTTAGGTGAATAACCACACTTGGGTCTTGTATGCGTGTTTCTGAAACACAACATACATCAATGGCTCGGGATGCCAGGGTCTTGGCTAGTGATGCTTGTTGTCCTATTTGGCAAAGTGTCCTAACATTAAATGCTCCTATATGAAATTGGTGGCGTGGCTTTAGGAGACTATCGGTGGTGGTTTTTTGGCTTCCGTCGTTTTAGTGGACACTGAGTGGAAAGAAAGTGAAGAGCTATCAAGCAGAGGAGTTGCCTCAGTGGAAGGCAAGATGACAGAGATGAAGATGAAGAAAAAGATGAGTGAGTATTAGAGAGGTTTCGTGTGCATTTCGGATTGTGAGGGCGTTTGTTACTTCCCGGCTGCCCACACTGTGGAAGTTGGTTGCGTGACCGCAGAGCCCAGGGGACAACTGCTTGAGGCCGGTCACACACGGCCTGCTTTTGTTTGTTCGTTATTGTTTGGTGTGCTTCAGTAGCATACTTATCACTCCTGCCCTGTGACACGGCAGCAGGAAGCGCGGTCGTTGTTAATCTGGGCCCTGGCCGATCCAGCATGATATTTTGTGAGTTTTTATGTATCATAGTGTTAGATTGGGTAGCTGCTTTTTGTTTAACCGCTATCCAAACAACCTTTCCGGCGTGGTAGGACCTCAAGAGACGTAAGTCTCAGCCAGTATAGCTTGTTGGGCAATTGCGGTGTTCAAGCCCGACCACCACGTCAAGGTAGCAGCTTTCGGTCGGGATATTGGTTACTAATTTTGAATACGAATCCGATTCAGACATGATTTTCAATTTTTGGTTTGTGGGGGTTTGATTGGCTACGGGTTCGATGATGAGCTGACATCAGTAAGAAAATCAGTAGAAAATAAACGGAGTACTGAACAGTTGTGTCTTGCTAGTTTGGGGCCTTTCACTAATACACCCACTGGAGTATACTGTTCACAGTCACTCGGACGGAATCCAGTGGCTCATAAATTCTAGCTCTTGTCAGTTCGAGATGTACAGTACAATCGCCAGTCAGGGTCATCGACAAGTGACTTATCTTTTACCTGACTTGGTGAATGATATGTATCCACATATATATATTTATGTGTGTGTGTATGTTCGTCTCTCTTTCTGTCTGCTCTCTTAGTCTGTGACCATTTCACTTGTATGAACTTGTCTCCTTTATCAATGTATATTCTCCTTATATTATATTATATATAATATGAGTGTTTGTTGACAGTCCGTTGCTTGGTGACATATATCCATATATGGTTGTTGTTGGCATGTCTGCTATATATTTTGCTATATATATATATATATATATATATATATATATATATATATATATATATATATATCATATTTCGTTCACACAATTTGTGTGAACTACTTTACTTACTTATCACTTTGGTGTGAGACCATTTATTTTCGTCTCCTTGTGTTTGGACAATAGAAGTATCATCGCAAACCTAGTGGTCTTCTGATTTCCGCCTTCTCGCGTCAGGACTATTAATTTCTCGACCAGACCATAACAATAATTTAGCGACTAGTACATAACAATTTGGCGACGGGGAAAACTAGTATATAACAGTGAACCTCACTGATCATGAATTCTCACCAGAAGTCCAGGTAGCTTCTATAGAGCCAGTTTCCAGAAATTATCAGATTAATTTTCAGGTGTTGGTTTGCAGGGATTTGATTTGATTGGGTTCCAGTGGCCGAATGGTCTACAAGCACACCTTGTGACCAGAAGGGCTTGGGTTCGAGCCGCGTAAGTGTTACTGTGAAGAGTTTCAAATTAGGACAAATTAGCTGTCCACTACTTCCTGGATTTCAGCGGGTCTCTAGATGATGTTAGTCCGTTATCCAACTCAAAACAAATCAAATCCCCACAAACTAACACTTGAAAATAATGCAAGACTGTAAAGGTGATAATCGAAATAAGAAACGTGACACATGTGTGTTGTGAATATCTTGTTTAAATTTATCAAAGAGACTAAGTATTTCAAAGGTACCGTGTCACAGCTCAAATAAACAGATTGATTATGATGACGAGATCCGCAGTTCGTTGACAATTTATGAAGTCCGACTAGTCGTAATAAAAGGCAGTTGGAGTTTTACTGGGTACGGCTTAACTGTTGTGGTATTTTAATAAACGCAGACACAAAATGAATTAAAATTTGTCGCCAGAATTAAGAAGGAAACTATGAATAAATGTAGTAATCAAAAGAAGAGTTTTCAGTTGTCATAAATTTAATTTCTATAGTGGCTTTAAACCCTTATACGAAACAGGTCTGGGTCATTTACTTAAACTCGTTGATCCCTTAGCCATAATAAGGCTCAAATCTGCTTTATGTTCGAAAAAAATTACTTGTCATTACTTTGAATTTGCCTTGATAATTTAATTTTAAAACCAAAGTTTACTGAATAATATTTTCACTTCCCTCCTTTTTTTCTTACTTTATTTTCCTATTTCTTATCTATGGTTGTAACCTGTAAACATTTTGGCTTAGATCAAAGCAATTTCAGTCCTTTACTCTCTGTTGCCTTTTATATTAATATGTATGACAATTACATATGCGACCACAACGTCCGAAATTTGTTGCACAAATACACACTACACGTTTCAGACAAACTATGTCTCGTTATTGTGTTATCAGAATCTATTGGTTGTTCTGAAGATATAAGCTCGTGTGACAAACTTTATTGATACAATTCAATCACTACTAAGGACTGATGGCGACACATTGGTATCTTTCTGGCCAACATTCATGATATTAGCTGGCGGTGTCGCTAGGAGTTGCAAATTGATGGAAGTTATTATTCGCGGGATGGCCTGAATGTTCAACGGGCTCACTTTATAACCTGAAGGATCTGGGCTCGACCTCTGGTTCGGTTTTTTATTTTTATTTATTTTATTTATTACTTATTTATTTTATTTTTATTCATTCTTATTTATTTATTTATCTTTGATTTTAAAAATCTTATATAACTTATGAGGTAATTAGATGCAATATACTGTAATGCACGCTGAAAATTCCATACCTGTACCACAAATACCGTTTGGAATAAAGCTGTTATTATTATTATTATTATTAAATACTCCCGAGGAGTCCCAAAAGGCTGACGAAACAGGCGTCCAGTTCTCACTAATTTTTTGTGGTTCTTTCACTGGTACCGATCCGTGATCAGACTTGATACATTTAGTCAGCACAAACGATTTACAATGTCGCACTGTTTACTGTTCGACCACCAACTGTTGTATCTGTTACAGTCCTGCAGGACATCGGTGGTGGTCTGAATGATAGCAGGGTTTGGTGATGCAGGCCCAGATTTCTGAAGGAATATCGGTATCACCAAGGTTACAATTGCACCCTTTTGATAAATGTCAGTAGACACGAAACTTTGGTCCAGGGCTTACTGATGAATGCGCTTAACCAAACAATATTAAATCTTTGGCGTAGCTATACAGTAAGTAATTTTTCACAAATTTCTCGTTTAGTTTAATTATTTGTTAGTTTTTTGTCGATACAGGGGGGAAAATTCTGAAATAATCCTTACAGAGATGCACTGTAAGCGTTCGGCTTACCTTCGGTGATGTCATTTACGAATAGGATATTATCCCTGAAAAATCTACCTTAGACTCATTGTTTCATATTTAACCTACAAAATCGTTTCTTAGAATAAGAAAAGATGATTTTCATTTAAACAAAGAGTATGTAGGTAAATTTTTCAGGCCATGCAATAATGAATCTAACTCGAAACATGTTTTACCATCATATGTATTATCGAGGTGGAAAACGTATAGATATTTCGCTGCTCCCGAAGGAAGACTGGCAATAAATATCATTAGTGTGGGGTGTGCTACTAATTAGATTTATCAGTAATATATAAAGAGACGTTCATCGGCATAAAACATCAAATAGCATGGAGATATATTCTATGATGTAGAGTTGCGTAGATACATGGGAGACGTCAAAGAAACACAAAAAAGCAAAATGAAGGCCAGAAGTAACAAAATACGGAAGGTCTGTACAAATGATGCGTTCAAGATATGGTGTACGTAATTTGGCTATATAGAGATACCAATTTCCAAAAAAACATTCCTACACCGAGTCTGTTGTTCTCTACCGCTACAACAGAAGTTAGAAAAAACATCCTATGTGGAATGACAAACTGGTAGACATCCACATTTGGTTACATTTGGCATGTAAGAGAAATCTAACTGTATCCCGTATGAATTTACAATATAGATGAATTAAAGTGGGATATTTTTCCTCAAGAAAATGTTACCATTTTGTATTTTATAGGTGAAAACATTGGATTCAAACTCTCCACAGAAACAGGAAAGTATGCCTTTTAAAAATCTAGACTACAAATGCGGCTGAACTGCTTACATTCCAAGTTGATAATATGGAACTCTGTTAGAAGACCATTCTTTCCGTGTACCAGTGTTATTATTGACATTTCTCCTGTTTTTCAATGCTGTCTACAAAGTGAAAGACAAATTACCACATCTATTGGCTTCTGCTGTTACGTATGCTTTTCTAAAGGGACGTTTATAAGCTGATATAAACTGTTATCAAAACTGATCATTCAGTTTCAAGGGGTTATTCTAGTAAATCTATTTAAAAAATGAGAACGAAATTTCATACAGATGATAATCAGCTGTCCCATTCAAATAAAATCAAAGTAATCATCGGTTTTAGGAGACAATTTACATCATATTTTTTCATCTGTTAACTTGTACCTGAGTATATCTACATTTGAAATATTGCAGAAGATTTGTTGCCCATGTAAATGGATATCCTTGGGGTTGTTTTGTATCCTTTGAGCTAGATGGTTTAAGTTCCGAAGCTTTCACTATCACTCAATCTTAAACAGAACAGTAACCAAAATATGTCTAAATTTTGATTATTTCTTCATAAAGTCAGTGAATATTATTAGTTCTTCAAGAAACTAAGGATTAAAATAGCTTTTTTCTCATTTGCATAATGAGGTAGACGTTTTATTTATTAATCATTACTGAAAGTATGAGTATTGAATTACCTTTTATTTATTATTGGGACACGGTATGTTTAAATCATTGGGCTACCTAATTTTCCACAGATCTATTATACTCCGTTTTAAACACGCATTTACGTCCTTGAAGAAAAATCTGTTCCACACACCGTTTGGTCTGTTTTGAAGGCACAAAAATGTCAGAGTTTCCAGTATATTGCGGATAGAATAAAATTTCCTTTAATGATACAACGCGGATCATTTTGCTGGAGGATTCTGCATAAGGGATAGATAGAACCAAGCTGCAAACTCTGCACTGTATATAAACTTGAGGTTCACAACAATGCTATTATTATTATCTTCTTCATCTCAAAAATGTTTCTTTTTTTTCATTATCTTTTCATATTTCTGTTGATTGTCTTTTTCAGTACTGTTGTGGGACTGTATTAACTTAAATAGATGCACCATTACTTACAGTTTTGTACTGATCTCTTTGTTTAACCATTGAAAATGTAAAATTGGATTGCGCTAAAACGCGATGAAAATACTCAGTAGGAATTTAACTGAGCTGATACGTACACATTTGCATGCTGAATCATATGCCTATATATATTGTGTAAAAGCTGCTAAAAGTATATGACTGATTAAGTTGCAGTAGATAAATGGCTTTTTGAACCTGATTTCACTAGTTATCTTCTAACCGACTAGATTAACACCCATGGATTTAAAGTATTATTATGAATAATATCAGTAATAATAATAACCGGCATGATCGATTGCTGAGGTGAATGTTTTGAAAAGCTGTTATTGAAAAGAAGACAGACTATGCGAAATTTACCCAAAGACTACATTAGGCAACGGGTAAACTATAGATTTAAAACTGTCTACAAGTAATGATTACGGGATAATCACTGTATCATAACCGATTGAATTTACAGTAGTACTCGTCCTTTAGCTCCATTTTCGAAAAATAAACTCATCAGAACAGCAAATTTTAGAGATACTATAAATAAATATTTAGATTCAAACATTAAATCGTGCATGCATAACATTGATATATGAAGGTCGCTTATAAAATTGTGTGGAAAGAACAGTATTTTAGTGATCAGTTAATTGTCTTTGATTAGTTCACCACCATTTAAAAGATAACGTAATTGATTCTCCTTCTTTAAATTAATCTGGAAATAAATTACTTCCTTCAAGTCGTTTAATTAATGTGTTCAGTGTTAATGATTGTACTAGCGGTTCATTTGGATTAATTTTAAATATCCATTCTAAAGTTGAATCAGCATCTAGAGATTGTACTGACTGGGTTGAAATAGTTTTTCCACTTTTTGGTTGTAGATTAAATGTTACAGCGGTAGATGGGGAGATTGTTTCAATTGCATTTTTTAACTCAGTTAATGTTATACTGTTTTGTTGTACTTCATTTGACCTATAAAACCAAAAGGAAAAAGTCAAACAAATCTATCAAAATGAATATTGAATTGTATAACCAGCTTGAGGATATTATTTTCATCATGGGTAAGGAGTGAGGTGTGAAACTAATTAGAAGCTAAACGTCTGTATAGTTGTCTCATCTTAATGCATCACCTTGAGGTAGTGTATATCCAATCGTACTTGAACTATAGGACACCGGATTACTGCTGCTACGATGACAAAACTCATTTTTTCACCTCAATCTAATTTATGTATCCACCACCCAGTATTATCAGTAAACAGAGAAGAATAGGTAATTCCGTGAGCTTCATAAGTCATGGTATCCAGTAAGTACCTCGTCATGTGAACCTTAAAAATACTCGTTAGCAAGTGTTGATATTAAATGAAGACTGTTTTGATTCACAAAATGATTGAAGCTGAAGAACGGTATGCGGAGGTGAGCCAGAGAATCTAGATACACATATTAGATGACAGTGTTTCGATTATTTTTTGGATCATAGGCGTCTAACACTTACCATTTATCTTCACCTAAAGGTGAGATTTAACTTTGTTGATCAAGACGTGTCGCGACAAAGTCTGGCCATGAAAGGAGTGCCCAAACATTGTACTATACTAATCAAGCCAATGTGTTTGTATTCATGCAGTCGTTTAATATTTTATTGAGAGTTTCCAACTGAAACGATGACAATCGACAGCATTTGTGTGTTCTGTAGAATGTTGTAGTTTGAACTATTATAATTTTGTGCAGAAATTCACATTAATAAGTCATTCGGTCAGTTAGTCATGCACAGACTATCTGTGGCTTTGATAATTTTTTAACTGATGTTTGAATTTATGCAGAAATGTCTTCCTTGGATTCATAAATGGAGACAGAGCAGTTGAACAGAAGAATTTTCTGGTCTGATTAGTTTGAAATAATGCAAAAGTATAAACACAGATATTTTGTATACTTAGACTAACTTTTCTGTAAAGTGGTTTCCAATTACATTTTTTTACTTTATATCTGTTTGCAGTCCAACTGTTATTCCACTAATTTAATCAATATTATCGTAGTGCAGCTGACTAAGGAGTGCCACCATGGGTATCTGTTTTATGGTAGACCAACTTTATTTGTTTCAGTAAATATTGGGAAACATTTTCTCAACTGATTGACTTGACCTGTTCCTTTTTTTTAAAAGTCATACCTAACATTTAATCATATACTGTTGTAACATTTTCAGTGGGTGATATATATATATATATATATATATATATATATAAATTTTGTATGGTGAGGTTGAAGGAGGGAGTTTATATACACTTCTAGATGTTGTTGTCACATCTTGTCAAAGAATAACAAATAACTTGAAATCCAGTGTACATTATCCTTATTTATTCCCAACAATAATCTAGTGCCAAACATAGTACAACGAGATACGGAGTTTGCTAATCTCGTCATCATGTTGATACATTTGATCAACCCAGTTTTGTCAATACTAAAGATAGCAGATTACTATTTGTTTCGGAGGTTTACTGATGGCATGTACACCCACCAAATAGGTGGTCTGAGATTCGCTTCTTAATCCTCGTCCAGTATACTAGCCAGTAGTAAGCCTGGAGAAGAGGGGAGATAGGGAATGAGACCAGCAACTTCACACCATGAAATCAAGAACACCACCACTAGTGTTGCTTTAAGCCTCAAACATGAAATCCTATGACACACTAGGGAAGCGAAAGAAAGAAAGAAAACAGATAATTAATTAATAAAGAGATTAAAAAATGTGGAATTTCTCACGTTAACTTTTGGATTTCGCTAACAATATCATTAATAAAGGCTGTTTTCAATTGCTTATAAACAGACAGCAATTCACTTATGAATGGATTAATATCTTCAGCATGTATCTATTGAAATAAAAAAGAAAAGAAAATTGAGAAAATTTCATGTTTATTTCAACAGGAACTACAAAAATAACCCATACTGCTATTAATACTTTAGAATTTTGTTTAAATTAATCTGTTGCATTAACATTTCTCTTATCTTCATTGAAAACTAGTAATATTTGTTCATAAAATCCTTGTAATTAACAACTGACCAGTTGAAGTATACATGATGAGGTTAGAGGAAAGCTAAGACTGGCTAAACCATTTGATGAATTTCAGCATAGATTTCGACATCAGCTGAGATAAGTTGGAAAGTCATCAAAAGCTAGGGAGACCTAGTTGGGGGACTACTACCCTATCAGGAATCGAACCTAGGAAATTCAGCCTCAATCACACATGTGTAAATATATTCAATCTTTATCATCTTCGACTTTTGTTTTTCAATTCTTATTCACCTGTTTTTCAGTTATTTAGTATTCATTTTCGATTTTTTAAAATATCTCTTTGTTCCTCTTTACTTCCTTTTTGATGCGTTTAAGTGGTGCAGTTCACTGGAAGATTATACAGTGGTGTTTCTGTCGTGTCCATCACCTTTATTCGGGTAATATATAGGTTTATTATTTAATACGTGAAGAAGATAATACGTAAGTGGAGAAGTGGATTGATGGTGAGAAGAAATGTAAGTTTTCAGAAGTGTGAATGGGAGATAGATAAAAGAAGTATGCAAACATAGTAGAAGGTGAAATTCCAGTAGACGTGAATATCTAAGCACTTATCTTAAGGGAAAACGGAATAGTTAGGTCACTAACAAGGAGAAAAGCACTGAGCTTAGGAGATTTAGGCCTGAAACTAAATGCAAATAGTTTGTTTTTAACTATTTAGCGCGCAATTTATTATTGTTGATAACGAGAAATTATGGACTGACTATCAATTTCTTTTTTGGAGTCTTCGTTAAGTTAAATGCCTTTAGAATAAGCAACAGACTGAGAGGAGAAGTATTTCCCTTTTCAATCAATTCCTCATCATCCGCTTTGCACTAATGTATAGTTTTCACACCAAAATGTTTTTTACCAATTAAGTGGTTATTTTAGTTAATCAGTTTTAGGTATAGACGAGGGTTAAATCAAGAGGTTAAAGGTCATCAAAACTAATAGCTGTTAGTAACAAGATATCTAAATTTTGAAGGAGGGGTGAAGATTAATTAAGGAATTCAAGATAAATTGATAAGCAGATATCCTGTGTTATCCTGTCATGGACATATTTAATGAATCTTTTTCCAGAAATGGCGTGCCAGCCGTTTGGAAGGACATTAAAATTGTATCTATACCTAAGTTATCTACTGGAATATGCTTTAAATTTAGACCTATTGCTATTACCTCTTCTTTTCTAAAAACTATGGAAAGGTTACTCTTACTTAATCTTCAGCCTTTACTTAAAGCTGTTAACGATCTCAAACAATTCGACTACAAACTTAGTAGAATTACTTTGGATGCAGCTGCAGTCTTGCATCATAACATTGTTTCTAGTTTAGACAAGGGGGCTAAATTTGTTCGTTGCACCTTCCTAGATTACACATCTGCTTTCGACTTAGTACCTAAAGATATTTTGTTAAACAAGCTTACTGAAACTCAAACTGGGTTGTGGATTGTTAATTGGCTTCATTCTTATGTCTCAGGAAGAAAGCAGTACACTGTATGTCAGGGAAAGTCGTTCACGCCATTGCTTACTGAGGCTGATGTCCCTCAAGGCGCCTCACTCTGATGAAATGAACTTCATTAAGTATGCGGACGATCTAACTATTTTAATGTCTATTAACTCCCAGCTAGACTGTACTTTCTATCAGGAGTTAGCAAATGGTCTTAAACTAAATCCTTCCAAATGTCAGGATGTTAATTTCAGTTTCCGATGTAAAAGAAAGTTAACTTTTTAAATGAAGCTGTTGGTTCCTATGACCGTTGCAAAACTGATTACAGTGATATAGAAATTAAGTCTGAATGTCTACAACAATCCGACATTACTTGACATTAGTGAGGAAAATATCTACAAAATGCAGTCAAATACGGAGTTAATGCAAAACACAATTACTTACATCTTCAAATAATTTATTAAAATCAATCATATACTGTATGCTGACTTGATACTGATTAGGTTCACTTCCTCCTTTCATATTTAGATTTGACAGTGATGGCAATTCAACTGATGTGGAGGATGAGGACAAGTTAGATGGTTCTTTAATTTGTAAACTTGCATACTCTGAAGCTGTTTGAATTAGTGTATCTAATCTGTTCAGATTTTTTTGACCAAGTATATCCAGCAAGGCTTCACTAAGTGTTTGTTTTAAAATTAATTTCTTTTTCTCATGAATACCTTCTGTGTTCAGTGGAAAAACTAGTAAGTGAAAAAATAGCTTTCAAGTGTTAGTTTACAGGAATTCGATTCCACTTCAAGATTTTTACGGACTGGCTTCAGTTACAGAACCAAAAACTAGTACTTTAAAAATTGATCTAGTGCTAACTAGTGTCTGAATACAGGATAAAGTTTCCTAAAGTTACAGTAGGAAGTCTTAGGCAGGGGGGGGTCCACTCAGTTGGGTGTGAGCACAAGTACTCTCTGATGACATTGGCTGGCGGTCACGATACATGTCACTGATTGGCATAAGTTAAAATTCATGGGTCACTGGATCCGGTGCCATTGGCTGGATGGTCAACAAGCTTGTCTTCCATGCTAAAGGACCTGGATTCGACCCTAAGTGGATGGAGTCAAGATTTCATACTGCTGAAGAGTTCCAAAGTTGGACTGAATGGCTGCGTAGTATTCCCTAGTTTTCATTGTTTCCCTAACTGAAGTCAGTTCGTGATCAGTCTTGAAAAAACAATTAATTTATTTCCTTTCATTTATCATCACTTACTCATACTACTATTATTATTGTTATTATTTGAGTCAATAAATAGTAGAATTTGTTCTTCAATTGATTTGATCCATGATTCAAAATGCCAGTGACATTCTTCATCCATCTATAAATAATTGAACAAATACCTTATATGATTCAATAATTGCATAAAAATAACTGAGGAGGAAACAAAACTGAGATTATTTTAGTTCACTCAGGAGAGTATCAGTCAAGTAAGTGAGCTGTAGAGTATTAATTCCATTTCTACTCATCTCAGAATTTTTGTGAGCATCTTTAGTAAATAGTCTGTTCAACTCAAGACAAGAAAATAAATATTAACCTATTAAACTTACCAGAACTTTGTAAAGAAGTATATTGGTTCAATGTTTAACACGTGTAGAAGATTATAAGTACAATAAGCACATATATGTTTAGGATTTCCAAGATGAAAACGGTGAATACATATTTGTCACTGTGAAGAATTTTGGAATCTGTGAGGGACCGACTTCAATAGTTGATTCCTAGCATCCTGAAGAATCTGGTTGGGCCAAAGATAAGGTGACCAGCCCTAACGTCTAACCGAGTAGATTCGACTTTGTCTAACAGTACCTTGAGGTGCTCAACAAGCATCATAACCAATTCAGTCAATTAAGATTCTCATCACTTTATAGATTGGCTGCACCCTTTACCTAATACTTAACTTTTAAATAAAGTATAATTATATTTCAATGGTTATACTTTATTTGGTCTATTCCGCAATGCTCAAACTTCTTACTGATATTAACTTTACTTTGAATTCAAAGCATTAATGACTTCATAGTTCCATCATCATCAAGCAGCTTTACAAGACTTCCATAGATATAATCAAGCAGGTTTTTGTCTTATTTTCACATTTAATTTTCACGCATGTAAAGTAGGACAAAGTGGACTGTTGCTCAGCAAGTTTGCTTTCTGATCAGTAGCCGAACAACTTCCAGCTGGAAAGTGTTTGGTTACAGGATTTCATCATGAGCTGACATTCGTTAGAGAACCATTGGAAAACCTGGGAGTACTGGACATTTGTTTCGTCCTAGTTTGGGACTCTTCATTAATACGCAACCCCCGGGGTTTGAACCTTCTGGTTACAAGGCGAGCTCGTAGACTATTAAGCCACTGGGACCCGCTCCAATGGCCCATGAATTCTATTTTCTGCCAATTTAAGATTTAGCGCAACCGCTAGCTAATGTCTTCGGCGAGTATTTGTCCTCACACCCGACCTGCTGCACTCTACTGGTCACGACTTCCCGAAAGTGTTTTTTGGTATGGTATAGTTAACATAGATATCTGATTAGTGATTGTGCAACTTCTCAAGTAGCTACAACAGTTCACACAATCAGTCACTTCAGTCTGTAACTTCAAAGCTGGGTGCTGTATAGACTAGTTCTATAGCGTTACCCTACATTTAACAAAATGATATATATATATATATATATATATATATATATATTAAACACACTCAAATGCCTACTGAGAGGATTCCAAAAACTGTGGATACTGCCTTTTCTTCAAATTATTTATAAAAAATCTATACAATCTGAAGGTACTAACATATGTAAGTCACACTATGTTGCGAAGTGGATGAAATTAGGGTGTCTACCAACGCATCGAAATCAAAACCTAATATTCGAAGTTTAAGTAATCTGATATTGATGCAATAAACTCTGTTATATGCATTTTTAAACACTTTTAAACTAGCATTACTGTTTTGTTGTTAATAAATTCTCAAGCAGATTGATTTCCTTCAAATTACTTAACTTCTTGAAATATTGTTTTGAGTAATTCATAACAATATCTCTTCGTAACTCTGTTTTACCACATCTTGTATATAGTGAGCACAAAGTTGATGTTAATCCAGCATTTAAAATTATTAATCGCATTCCTACTAATATTAATTTTGCATTACGAGTTCCTCTTCTACATACAGCTGAAGCAATAGGAATAAAATAAAGTATAATTATATTTCAATAGTTTACACACAATGATAAGTTTTGTTATTGGTAATATTTCGAGCAAAATTACTGCCCGTGTTCACACCACTGTTGGAATTGTGTGTAAACTATTGAAGTATAATTATACTTTATTTGATCTAATCCACAATGCTCAAACTTTTTACTGATATCAATAGGAATCAACCTGAAGAAGCCAAACCTGTGTGCTCAGATGAAATTTGTACAGCCACTTTCTTTACCTTGGTCATCGTTACATAAATGTATAAACAGGAGTAAATCGCCCCTGAACTTTTAAAAATTATAACAGTCCAAATTATTTTATTACTTCTCTAATTACTTCATCTTCAATTACATGTTATCAATGTTGTAGTCATTTCTACCCTTTAATTATTTGAATTATTTATCTTGGTTATTATCACGCTCCGTAACGTATCGATATTGATTAATTATTGTTAACAAGCATATCAACATTTGAATATCGACAACTGATTGGTGAATTGTTGTGTATAGTAATAAAAATGCTATGGATATATATTAGAGTAGAGCCATAGATGAGGATCTTATTGAAAAGTGAATATTTCTTTCGCCCATTGTCTAAATAGGGATTTTTTAATTTTAATTCACAACTGTTGTCTCTTAAACTGCATGGGATAGTTCTAACTTGGTAGATTAACTTATTAATATATGTTAATGATCAAATTAGGCATAATAAAAAGAGAAAGGAACAAAAAGTTCAACGAAGATATCTTTTTGGCAGTTTGAAAGTATCTCAACTAACTCATCATTAAGAGTTATTTTACCAGGTGTGAGTCATCTGGGAATCGAACCCCAAGTTGTGTGTGTAGTTGGTGAGTACTCGGCCAGTGAACCCCTGAAGCGCCACCTATAGCAGTGAAGACGTACAATTCAAGTATTCATTAACTATTCCATATATTATTATTGTTCTCTTACCTTATTGTCAATAATTTTTTTCAGTTCAATTAATTTATAACAATGTGTTTCTTTCACTAACATACTGTAAAATGTATGCGCCCATTCAATACGAATTTGTTCAATACCATAGATTTGTTTAAAGAAATGATTTAAGAATTCATCGAATGATTTAAATACATCACGGTGTTGATGATGAGTACTAGGTGATTTCGATTGCGTACCAGCTGGTGGATGTGACCTCGTCTGAACCTGTTGTTTTCAAGATGGTGTATCATTAGTGGAGTAGGAATGTGGAAAAGGAAAATCAGAGTGAATGATGTGATCATCGAATAAATAAATAATTATAATAAATTATTAAGATGCCACAAATTTAATATCGATTTCACATATGAAGAAATTTTCTCCAATTTTAAAGAGATTTTACAATTTCTAGCCTTTTTCTCTAGTATATTTTAATATCACAACGCTGATGACATGAAACTGATTTTTACAAGACCAAAAACACCCACTAAATCATGTAGAAAATAAAAGACGACAAGTCAACAATGAACATTTTCAATTAATAATGTTCTCTGAGTAGGTTGGTTTAGTTGTGGAGCTTTCGTCGTCCTTCTGGACAACATCTTCAGCGCAATTTCTAGCATAAATTGAAATGATTTAAATTTTTCATGGGTGATATGATTTTGTCTCCCGGTAACCATCTTTACATATGTATTGATCATTTTCTATTGCAAATCATCCATCTGAGCTACAAATCTTCTGTATTATTTCAAAAATTTTTCTTTATCTACAAAGTCATCTTAAAGGCTGTACAAATATATTTATATTTGCCAAATACATATATTAGTCGATAGTGAGTATTGGGAGGGTAATAAAATTGATATGATTACTCACAAGTGGTTTCTTAAGATAAAACTTTGGGTAGTAGATAATGAAACAATATAAGTGAAAATTGTTATTCAGTAAAAAGTAGGGTAGTTGAGTGCCCATCTGACAAGTGCGAAGATGGCAAGGGAAAAAACCTTGTTGAAATGTACTAAAGAAACATGTAAGACTGATAATATTGAATTAATTACTAAAACTAGAAGCGAATAAATAGGAAAGAGGTCGAATAAGAGACTAAAAAGACCTTTTCTGCACACAAGCCTCGAGGTTATACTGACAAAAACCTAGCGTCTCAGTTATACGCAAGTATCAAAACCAAGTACCCCATGTACCATTCGATCTGACCTTGCAGATAATTTTTAACAGAGGACTGTCGTAAGGCTGAGTGGTGTTAGTCCATCAGCTGCTCGAGAAATGATCTTTCATTGTTCTCTTCATAACTGTGCTGTATAGTGTTCAGATATGCCTTTAGAAGTAAACTTTTGTGCATACAGATCTCCAGGAATTAGAATTCATATCAGAGGTTTGTGATAGTATGATAAAGTAGAAAGAAGACCCTTAAACTCTGATGTGGAATAAACGGAAACATCTAGATTCATAGTCTTTTACTGTAATTCAATAAAATCTGAAATTCAAAATTCCAGGTGGTGTGAGTTTCACTGCACATTCAAAAATGAACTTTACTCTCAATGATTATTCATGGCAAGGAAGCTAAGATAAATTAGGATTTCAAAGTTAAAATTTGCAAATTAATTCGCTGTTTGCAAATTGCACAGTTCGAGGTGAAATTCCACCACAGTTTCCTTTGAAAGTCGAAATTACTCAGATCACAATATATGGTTTGCTTGATACCCTAAACGGCAATCAAGAAATCGAGGTTAAATGCGTGACGCAATATATTACTGACTGACTGAGATAAGTAGTTGGGTACTGTTCACAACAAATAGCAGTGCTTGCTAGCCATATCAAAGTAATTTAAAGATTGACCTGCAGTTTCGCTCGTTTGGACGGAGTAAACCAGATGGAAAGTCCTGGGTTCAAACTCTGATGGGTGTGTACTGATGAAGATTCCCGAAAAGAGGATGAAACCGCCATCTAGCACTCCCTGGTTTTCAGTGAATTTCTAACTGGCATCAATATGTGACCAAAATCGAATCAAATCAAATCCCTGCTAACTAACTCTCGAATAATTATTTTTATTTTATTCTAATTCTGAGAGAAGAAAACTATACATTGCGAAACCCTGTACTGATATTTTATACTATTTCGAAACCGTCCAATGTTATTTATTTATGACCTTGCCAGGCATCAAGGCCAGGTTTAAAATAATAATAAATAATAATGTTCCTTTCACGTTCCCCAGTGGGGCATGGGGCTTCAAGCTAGTGGCTTGAAGTCTCTGTAGCAGTGTTTAATTTTACAGGATGGGTTTGCTAGCCTCATGCCCAACCTTTCCTCTTTACCAGTATTTTTTCAGGCATAGCGAGGTAAAGGAGTGCGTCGGCCGGGGATTGAACCGCGGACCATGTGCATGGTCGGCAAGCGTCCTGACCGCTATGCCACCGACGCACCCAGGTTTAAAAGCTTACATGTTAGTGATCAGCAGCTTGGTGGCAATTGAATGGCCTATGATATCTAATTTTATTTCCTAACGAGGTCACTGGTGCTGAAGAGTTACAAATTTAGCAAGCATTTGAAGGGGAAAGTCTTCACTTCCCTGTCTTTCGATACAAAAAGGTCGACTGTATAACCTGTCTAGTGGAGTTCAATAGTCAACATCTACACATTTTTGAATATATGACATAAAAGAAGAAGTTTAATGAAACTACTGGTCGGTATTCACAATTCAGAACATGTTACACAATTAAATTAAAACAGGTACAGAACAAATGACGACTATAACAGCACAACCCAAGTAGATAATTATGCTCACATAGATATGACTGTATTATATACAATCATAGTTCACAAAAAATCGTAAACATTTATCTAAGGTTTATACAATTCAGTAATAAAATTTTTAAGCGAGGATATCTGTCTCACTACTAAGTTTAGTGTTATCACTACTAATCAAGAAGTGTAGCATACTGACATGCTAAATGAATATTTCAAATCTTTAAAGATGCCCATTTATAATATCAAAACAAGACTTATAAGCGAACAATATTGTTTTCAATTAGATCTTCTTCAGGCTTTACTCTAATTTACATAGACTTATACATAAAAATTTTAACCAATGACGGTGATTTTGTGGATCAAATAATAATAATAATGTGGTAAATGTTTTGAACGAAATTAATAACGATGATTATAATAATAACAAAATATTGATAATAAAGTTTATGCAGGTGGCGATAAGAATAACAAAGATAGTGTATGTATATAAGTAGACAATTCAATAAATAAACAGGAGATGGAAGATAAGAAAGAGTGGAAGGTTTTTGAATAGAATTCACCTAGGCAAGCAAGGGAGAGACAAAGGTAGAATAAACTTCTTTTGTATACAGAGACTAGAATTGTTCTCTAGAATTCCTATAGCTTCGGCTGTGTAAAAGACGGGTTCTGACTCCGTTCGAAAGACTCGATGGAATGCGACAGATAGCTTTGAAGGCACTATTTTTGTTCACTTGGTGACCTCTATCAATCAAATGAGCCAAGATAGAACTTCGTATGCATTTTATTTAACCTTTTCCGAACCATGAAGGAATATGCTCATTAATGCGTTTGTTAAGCTGTCTAGTTGTTGGCCCTATATAGCTTTCTCCACAGGAGCAACTAAATTTATAGATACACATGGAAGTGGCACAGCCAGGTAGCTTATCTTTCACTTGAGCAATCAAAATTGGTCGGCTGGAAAATGACAAACAAAGGGTAGAAGCAGTATAAGTCCGTTTTATCGCTCTCGATAATCTCTGATGTAAGACTTCGCTAGCCACGTCCCCATTAAATTGTAGTCCCATGAAAAGTTTTTTCTTTTTAACTGTTGTCGGTTTTTCTTTATTGTACCTCGTATTCATGTATCTCTTTACAAATCTACTAGGATAACCCATTTGGACCAACGTATTTTGGATGTATCCTAGCTCATTTTCTAAGGAGCCATCTGTACAGATACGTCTTGCTCTATTCGTGAGGCATCCGACTAAATTGACTTTGTATCGAATTGGTACAAAACTGAGGAAATGTGTATATTGTCCTACAGATGTAGGTTTTCTATAGACATCTCTCTTGAGTGAACCATCCTCTCTTCTGCTCAATTGGACGTCAAGGAAATGTAGTCTACCTTCATCTTCTTCTTCACAAGTGAAGATGAGCGATGGATGTGCATCATTAAACTTTTTTAACATTTCATTATTGTCAGCTTTCACATCAAGAATAATAAACGTATCATCAACACAACGAAAAAAGGAATCGGTTTTCTCTATTACTTGTCTCAATGGACCATTTTTAATCTTGGCAAGAAAGAAATCCGCCAAAATTGGCCCCAACGGAGAGCCCATGGTAATACCGTCGACTTGCCTGTAGAAAAGGTTGTTGAATGTGAAGTGTACATTCATAGTACATCTTAAAAGCAACTCTTTCAGACTAATAACTGGAATTCCGATGTCGATATGTTTTTCTAGTATCTGTTGGCATATGAATTCCACAGACTCCATAATTGGTACATTGGTAAACAGTGATGCTACATCTAAGGAAAGCATTTGCTTCTCATTTACATTGATACCATCCACGTTAGCAATAAATTCAAAAACGTCTTTAACACTATGATTTACTACCATCTTGTTCGGCAGTGGTTTCTAGTTACATGTGAGTGTCTGGTTTGAAAGAAATAGATTTGCAGATGAGGTTAAGTGCTTCCAACAGAAAGAATATAACTGTTACTCAATAAATTGCCACTCAATCGAGTTGAATCAATAGTCCATTTTTCAAATTTAACCACGAAATCATTTCAGTTAGAGAACAAGTGAAAACCGCGGAATACTGGACAGTTATTTTAACCTAGTTTGGGACGATTCAGTAGTGAGCTGCCATCACTTAATGCGTTTAAAATCTAACCCAGGACATACAGTTTAAACTTCTTCGGCCATAAAGCCAGTGGGACGGTGTTCAGTGGCCCATAAATTCTAACGTATATCAATTTGCGACATACAGGACGAACGCTGGCCAGTGTCATCAGCGGGTATTTGTGCTCACACCCAACTTGCTGGACCCCGCTGGTAATTATAAACTTAAAACCATTTTTGGTGTCAAGCGTTATTGAGATACTCAAGATACATTATCAAGATTTGACAAGATATATGACGTGCTGAACTTTTACCTCTCTGTACATAGTTCTACTTACTTGTCCTTACAGTGTGGATAATAAT